GCAGATTCGTGTTTGTTTGTTTGTTTGTTTGTTTTTTATTTCTGTATGGCTTTTCAAAATTAATGTGTAGCAGCGGGTGGTTGGCGGGTGCTCTGGTGTGGTTTGCTCCTTCTTTCCTATCAAACACCTATCGTCCTCATCTCTCCTCCTTCATTTTTGAGGGGTTTGTTACTCTCTTGTAACACCTCTAATCCTCGGCACTTATATGACCTTATTGTGTTGCAAGTGCCGTAAAACTCTTTCTTAATTCTAAAAAAATTAAATGTGTCGCAACATTGCCTTTGGTCTGGTACTGACCGGACGTTTGATTGTGTCCGCCACGTCTCAAAAGAGTTAACTCCTGCCTGGGTTGAGGACTCTTCCAGTGTCTGTCGCTATTGTATTCATCAAATTATCCCACTCGCCCGGGATTGAAGTCTTAAACAATTATTTATGGTAATTCCTTCATCTCATTTCCGCTATCTCTGATTCTCCCCCATCTAACCAGCTCGCTCTCTCTCTGTCTCTCTCTGTCTCTCTCTGTCTCTCTCTGTCTCTCTCTCTCTCTCTCGCCCCCCCTTCTCTCTCTCTCACTCTCAATCTCTCTCTCTCTCTCTCTCTCTCTCTCTCTCTTTCTCTCCCCCTTCTCCTGCCCCTCTATCTCTCTCTCTTTCTTTCTCTTTTCTCCCCCCTCTCTCTCTCTCTTTCTTTCTCTCTCTCTTTCTCTCTCTCCTTCTTCTCCTACCCCTCTATCTCTCGCTCTTTCTCTCTCTCTCTCTCATTCTCTCTCTCTCTCTCTCTCCCACCCTGTCCCCTCTCTGTTGCCCTGTCTACTGGTTCACGACTATTTTGAAGATTGTTCTGGGACGCTCTTGTGGGTGTTATTTGCCTTTTCTATTTCTCTAATACAGATGCACCATTGTGCAGCCCCCCCCCCTCCTAAAAATTGCTTGCTCTTTCTTGCTTACCCCCCTCTGCCCCTTCTTTTTTCCTCCAACCCGACAACCCCCTCTCACCCCCGCCCCCCTCCGACTTCGTTGTCTATGGAAACACGAAGGCACTGCACTGTTTCTATCACCACGCTGTGTTCCATACTCCTTATCATGCACACGGGAGAAAAGTAAGAATAAACAAGGCCACAAGCTCAGCGAAACAAAGCAGAACTCTTATTCTTTGTTCCTGTCATGATCAGCAGTGCCGTCTTGATCCACACTTAAATTGCCTTTTGTCTGGCGCTTCCACCAAGCCTTATCTCTCATTCGCGATAGCTCCTAGAGTTTACAAAAACGGACGTTATAACATTAATAATTGTCTTGCACCAACACCCCCTCCCACTCCTATACACACACACAGACACACACAGACACACACAGACACACAGACACACAGACACACACACACACACACACACACACAAACACACACACACACATACACACACATACCCTCATACCCACCCCCTCCCCACACACACATGATACAGAAAGGGTCCGGATTGTGTCTGCAGTGAGGGAGATCGGCTTCTCTGTATAAGTGCTAAAGATCAAGGCCATATCAGGGTGAGACAGATTGCTTCAATGTGTTTTCACCACTAGTTTATATTATTATGTTTCTTACTTTGCCTATAAGTTTATGCTCTTCAAATAACTCATTCTGCTCCGAGAAGAGTGTGCAGTTCGAACAGTATTAAACATAAATTTGGGGTCTTTGTCCTATCAGCATTATTAATATCTTTATCGCAGAGGCTGAATTCAAGGTTCAAGGATCCCATTTTTTTCACGAAAAATCTGCTAAAAGTTTTCAATTATGATGATGTTAACTAAATTGTTGCGCTTGACGGAAAATGCACGTGAAATACTTTTAAAAAGACAAATTGTCTTTAACCTATGTTCATTTATTCTTTTATTTTCATCTCATTCTTTCCAAAACATCTAGATAAGACTAGATAAGGATCCAGCGAATTAGGTACAGACATATGCCGTTTCTGGGACACTTGAATACACACAAAGGCTTTGAATATCTTGCTCTCATTTGAAAAAATAGAAAGTAAAGGAGGCAGAGGTGGACTAGGAGCAACTTATTTATAGGACTTGTACATATGGATGACAGGGAAAGACCAGGATAATCATATTGTGTATATTATAGTTCGTTTTTTTAAGAACATCCAATCAAATAAATGAGGGGCAAACTATATTCGCCGATGTCTGTTCCAGATCTGGCACTCCATGATAATGATCTTATTATACTCCCTTGTGGATCTGTGAAGTTTGCTACTAGATTCCAAACAATGAAGAAAAGTGGAAAGTAGTTTACAACTTAAGTCTCGCTGAGAGATACATGTGTCTTCGTGAACATTACGGCACGGGTTGCCAGAACTAACATTTGATAATGTTTGATAGGAAAGCCTCCTCATGGAAGACTTCATGACACAGGTGTACTCTAGAATAAAAGATACACCAAAAACTGCCCCTGATCTGCAATTTATGTCTTGCACCCCCACCGACACAATTTAGATTATTCAGGAGATGAGTTTTAATCCTGCCTGTTGCGGCAAATTCCAACTGAGAGGGATACACCATCCCAGCAGAATGAAATGACTGAGATACTCGATAAAAAATGCTCTCCCCTCTGGAATCGAACTTAGGTCCCCTGTATGCGACGACGAACCGCATAAAGTCTACACCTCTAGTCCAGCAAAAACATTACCCTACTTCTGTAATCCACACATAGACTTGTGTTATAATATCTTGGACCATGCACATTGATGAGGTTCAGGTTCACCATGGCATGGGGTACAATATTTCACTTAGTTTGTAACCAAATTAAGGACAAAAAAAGGGGTGGGGGTGGGTTATTTTAGTAGGAGCTTATGGCACTTGTATCACCTCTACATGTAGTTCGTGTAAGTGCCGTAATGGGGAGTTGTGCCACATGCACTGGACTATAGTGAGACTGGCGTCTTGCCCTTCATGTGGACGCCTATGGTGTAGGCCTAGGCTATCAGAGTAGTTGCAGGCGTTTCACATTGACGTTTACAAAGAGAGCAAAAAGTGGCGACAATGACAGTGCACGGTCTAGGTTAATATTATTTAAGTCTACGGATCCAGATAATATACAGCTGATAAACCATTTCGAAAGTGAAGCACCTGGCATCCGAATGACTACACGAATAGACCCAACAACCCCCCCCTCTCCCTCTCCGCCTCCCGCCCCAGGTTCATTGCACTTCACCCACTCTTGTGCAGAAAGGTCAAGGCCTCAACCAACCACAGCTGTGGAATCCGCGGGGAAAAATGTCTCAAAACCTATAAAAAGTGATGTAAAATCCATCTGCAAAAAAATTAGATTTGCTTCTCCACCCCTCCCTTGAAAAAGAGTTACGTTTTCCTCCTGTTTTATTCACGTTCACAGAAACAAAACTTGGTATTTTCCCCTTTCGCCCTAGACCTTAGGCCTACCTATTAATTACGTTGCAGGGCGCAGACTAAGGTTTTTTCCCCTTCCTCTTTTTTGTTAAATAAATAAATTCTTCGGCTGGAATATCAGCAGCCGTTTCCTTGCCCCCGTCTCGAGGCTGTCTTCTCTTATTGCATAGCACACCCGTTTTCCTTTTACCTTTCTTGTGAATCACACGTTTCTCTCCACGGATAAGGATACGAGGAGCTTACCCCATCCCCCCACCCCCTTCACCCCAAGTGAATTCGTTAAGAGGTATGCCTCGATCGTCAGCCTTGCCTTGGTTTTCAAAGGTAGTCGGGCGAAACATGATAAAGATTTAATCTTTATTTCGACATTGTTATGTTATTTAAGAGTTGTTCCCCCAAATTATGTCCATCTCCGATAGAACCATGCCAGGTAGGTGGACAGTCGTGAAAAAGTTTTAAGCAACTCAAGCAAAAAAGGGCCAACTGGGGATTCGAACCAGGAATGTCCACACAATAGCTCGACTTTTGGAAAGACAATAAACATACCAATGATGTGTTGGGTCTTGGTAAAAAGAAGCCCACCGACACAACATTTAATACAGGGACAAAGGAATATAGAAAGACAATGAGAAAACAAGAGGAAAGAAAAAGAGACCCCTCCCACCCCTCGTTCACGGTATTAGTAAAATAATGATTACTGGAAATCATCAAGAATCTGCGGGTCTTGCACTGATGCAGACTGCAGGAATATTGAGCATTTTGGTTCGTTTCGAATTCTTGTCAACATTGTTTTCGGGAGGAACCAAAAGAGAGAGAGAGAGAAAGAGAGAGAGCGAGAGAGAGAGAGAGAGAGAGAGAGAGAAAGAGAGAGAGAGAGTGAGAGAGAGAGAGGGAGAGAGGGAGAGAAAGAGAGAGAGAGAGACAGAGAGAGAATATGACAAACAGACAGACAACAGTCAGACAGAGGAAGAGATAGAAACCAAAAAAGTTGCTGTTTGTGTGTGTGTGTGTGTGTGTGTGTGTGTGTGTGTGTGAGAGAGAGAGAGAGAGAGAGAGAGAGAGAGAGAGAGAGAGAGAGAGAGAGACAGAGAGAGACAGACAGACAGACAGACAGACAGACAGACAGACAGACAGACAGACAGACAGACAGACAGACAGACAGACAGACAGGCAGAGAGAACTACAAAGGGAGAGAGAGACAGGCATAGAGAACTACACACATACACACACACACACACACACACACACACACACACACACACAGAGGAGAGAGAGAGAGAGAGAGAGAGAGAGAGAGAGAGAGAGAGAGAGAGAGAGAGAGAGAGAGAGAGAGAGAGGGGGGGGGGAGGAAGAGATATAAGCAGAGGGGTGGTAGAGACTTTTTCTCTTTAACATCTCTCTTCCATCCTCCTCTCTCTCTCTTTCTCCCCCCTTCTCTCTCCCCCTCTCTCCCCACTCCCTCTCCCTCTCTCCCCACTCTCTCTCCCTCTCTCCCAACTCTCTCCCTCCCCCCCCTCTCTCTCTCTCTCCCTCTTTCTGCCCGCACGCCTATTGCGCCGTTTCGTTCCTGTCGTTAATCTTGCGGCAGTTCACGGGTACACCCGGGTGGAGAGAGCCGAGCGGCGGGCTGACCCTCAGATGATAGGGCCGGTGAACGAACAGTAAAGCACGCTGCGCACCAAGCTGATTACCCGAAAAACTTCTTTTTACGTTGAGACACATACTGCATAACTACCGGATTCACATAACGGGCGTTTTTCCCCTCCGAAAGGGGGAACAAAGTGTTTGCGCTTCACCATTGGCAACATAGGATGTTGTGTACACAGCAGGTACACGCTCACTCCCTTGTTCGTTTTGGTTCCAGAAGGTGGCAGAGTGATAATGCTATTTTGGATTGTATATTAGTGGTGAGTTTTTCACTCATTTTAATCGACTTGTATGGTGTAGGTCTGGGCTTTTCTTTGATCTAAGAAAGTCTACCATTTCTTTTATTACTATAAGGTTACTTAATGGCTCCTTCTGTGCCAATCCGCGATCTGCCTTCGATATTGTATTGTCTCCCATGTAAAAGAGACGCTTTTCTTGATACCTTATTGATTCATTCTGTGAGGGATTATTCTGACACTATTTTGTGCTAATTTATGCTTTTAATTTGCTGTCAAGTCAATTTTAGTTAAGGTAACATATCCGGAAACTGAACTTTTCGAAAACCATCTTCAAATGATCACAGATTCAACACTGGTTTGGCCCGACAGTCGAAATCCCTCTGGCATGGGAAGAGTTAAGAGGCAGGTCGGGGCCTACGTATTTTCATCTGTCTCTGACTGGACCAAACCTAATTGGTGAACAGGTTTCAAAAAGGAAACGAACTATCCAATATCTTCGGGGATTGGAACCACGGTCATCCGTGCCACAGCCCTGCATACTATCAGTTCATCTGGAGGCGAGAACTCTTTTCCTTAATAATGAAAACGTTTTCTCACGTTTCTTCAATACACCGTACTCAGTTCTCGTAGACACCCCCTCCCCCAAATCCTCTTTTTCAGAATTAGATCACCTTGCTATTCAAATCTTAAATAGTAATACAATTGTCTTAACTTTCGTCCATCAAGGCCAAAACAAGAACAATGATTATTACATAAGTCGCCACACCAGTACATCAGCAAAGTTCTGAATTAAGACCCCCCCCCCCCCCTTTTTTTTTTCTCCTACCCCAGTCTTTCTATGTATGTGGCTGGTTTCAAAATGATATCTACTGCAGTCAACAACAGTATATAATTACAAAGTCAAACAGTTTCACGTCTTTTGGCGGTCCTGTGTGGCAGATCTATGTTGGTTTTCACGGTGAATACCCCCCCCCCAAAAAAAAAAATTAAAAAAAATCCAATATAAAATAAAAATCGACACAATTTCGATAATATTCGATTTGGACAGAACCGTGTGTATGGGTTTGATTAATTTCACTTGGACTCATCAGTGTTTCTTGACAAAATCTATGATTCCGAGCCCACCTACCACCAGGTTATCGGGGAATATCAACTGAAAGGATCTATAGCAATACGTCTGATAATAACATAAACATTATATATTATCGTCTGTTAGGAATTACAAGCCCTGCCTTTCAGTGTAAAGGTTGGATACCTTAAAATTCATTAGTTTTTACTCTAAATAATGACAGTTTGAACAAGACCTATTGCGACGAGATGTGCCAAAAGTTAAATTGGTATGAAGGACAACGATAAGTATGATCTTAGTTTGAATCTGCAACAGTCGGTTATTGAATACTAACTCTTCTTTGGAAAATTAGAAAATTATCCCAAGTCATTATGCTGGGACACCCAGTGACGTAAACTACAAAGTTACTTTCAGAGATCTCGCCTCTTTAACACCTTTCTAGGGGGTTAAACTCGTACCATATGACTATGCCGTATTGTGCCACCGCAAAACGTGGCATAGTATAGCATAGCATAGCATAACACACCACAGCACAACACAACACAGCACAGTACAACACAACATAGCACAGCACAGCACAGCACAGCACAGCATAGCACAGTACAACACAACATAGCACAGAACAGCACAGCATAGCACAGCACGGCACAGCACAGCACAGCACAGCACAGCACAAATTAGCATAGCATGGCATAGCATAGCATACAGTGATGTAGGCTACCTATCATAACATACCATACCATCGCATAACACAGCATAGCATAGTAGACCATATGCCGTAGAGATAGAGATTCACTCGTCCCCAGCAGCGTTGGACACCTTACATCTTGCCCTTCAGATCCCCCCACCCTAACACTGGACAAGAGGCTATCCTGTTTCAGATCTAACCCCCATCAGCATGAGTTATGACAGTCAATTTCCACATGCATGTAGTGAAACACATGTTGCTATATTATTATTATTATTATATTCAAAGCACACTGTGGAAAGTTTCGTCAAATCCCTATTTGACATGGTTCGTCAAATCCCTATTCCCTATTTGACATGGTTTGACCTATTTATAGAAGGCGGCCGGATATTCCTTCACAGAGAAGCAAGAGCTACCATTTTGGCACAGTTTGATAAAAATCTTCCAAAATAAAGCAAGCTTCTTTTTCTACATTACAGAAAAGTATGCTTGAAGTGAAGAAAATGAAGACCAACAGCCTATCAGAAGGCTACCATGCGTCACATGACTTTGCGGGGTAATAATTTTTTGGCGGGCAGAATGCGAGAGGCTCCAGTAGATCTTCGGGATACATTTGGTGAAACAAAGCAGAGGTCTATTTGTTATTACATATACTGGCCAGAGCCATTACTTCGTCCCATTTAATTCAAATTATGTCTATTAGGTCAATTAGAAAAGCAGGCTTCCATTCTCAATAGTGATGACGATGTCGATAACAATGCTTCATGAAAAAAATAACTAATGTTTTAATCGTTTACAAGTTCTCAGGGGAAAAAGACAAGACAGGAAATTGTCGGCTAAGGAACACACTGGCGTCGGTGGCCTAGTGGTTAGGCTCTCGGACTCGCAAACGTAAGGTCGTGGGTTCGAATCCCGTCAAGGGTCCGACATTGTGTCCTTGGGAAAGGCACTTTACACGAATTTTCCTCACTTCACCCAGGTGGGAATGGGTACCCGGCTATAGACAGCGAAAGATCTTGTCAGTTTGTTAGTGTTTGAGCGCTTAATCGGCTGCTCGCACTGTATGCTTCCCGGGAAGCTGAGAATGTTTCGGAGTGTACTATGGTCTGCTGGGGTAATAATATAGTGTAAAGTGCATAGAGCCTGCTGTTGAGCGGGGATATGCGCTATACAAATGCTATCTATTATTATTATTATTATTATCAAGCGATAGTTGTGTAGCGGTTAGGCGCTTCTCTGTCGCATGCAGAAGGCTGGAATGCGATTCATGTGAAGGGGAAATTTCATCTTTTTTGTTTTTTGCTCAGAAGTTGTCTCCCTCTCAGCCTGGGCTAGTCCTGACTAGTGTGATCTAAGCCCGCCTCTTAAATGATCTAAATAGTGTCAACAGGGGCGTTAAAATACCTACATTAAAACAAAAAGGCTGCGTCCCCTTTGTTTATAAGACGTAAAAAGAAAGAAGACCTCAAAACGTAAATCAAAATCACTCCCCAAGATAAGAAGAGAAAAAGAAACAGCACTTCCCACCCCGCCAAATCAGCAATCCCTAAACATTTCAGCCATTTCCCACCGGAAACATAACAAAACGAAAAAAACCGAACGAACAACAAAAAACCCCTCCCAAAAACAACAACAGCAACAACAACAACATCAACAACAAAAACCCCACCCCACCTCCCAAAACCCCGACAAAGCTATATATATGAAATACTTCACACAAAGATAAACACTGTTCTCACACAGGGCCATGAACAGGTTCACTTTTCTCCGCTTGCCAAAAAAGCCCCAAAAGTTGTACTGGTCAAGTCTTCGAAATTGTTTCACGTGATTCCCCTTAAAAAAGACCTGCAAACAAACAAACAACGACACAACAAAACAGCAACGACAACATCAACAACATCAACAACAGCAACAATAAAAACAACAACACCCCTCGAAAACAACAACAGCAATAACAACAAGAACAAATAAAAGCAAAAGAAACAACAACAAAATAAATCAAACCAAATACAAAGACAACAACTAAACAAGAGAGAGATTGATAGATAAATAGATTGATATATAGACAGCGAGAGAGAGAGAGAGAGAGAGAGAGAGAGAGAGAGAGAGAGAGAGAGTATGTGAGAGAGAAATGCGTACATGTGTGTGCGTGTGTGTGTGCATGTGTGCATGTGCGGGTGTGTTTGTAAGTTGGCATCTGTGAAGGGCCGGCTTGATAGCAAGCTGCATAGATGGATCGATAGAAGATATTATGAGAGACTGAGGAATTGGGGAAAATGAGAGAGAGGGAGAAAGGAGAGAGAGAAGGAGAGACAAAGAAAGAAAGAAAGAAAGAAAGAGAGAGAGATAGAAAGAGAGAGAAAGGGAGAAGGATAGAGAGAGAGAGAGAGAGAGAGAGAGAGAGAGAGAGAGAGAGAGAGAGAGAGAGAGAGGAAGAAAGAGACAAATACAGAGGCAGAGACAGAGAGAGAGAAGTCACTTTTGATGCTACTCTGACGTGTCATACTCGTTGAAGATCGATAAAAATGTCCCTTCCTCATCAACTTTTTTTTCTCTTTCTGCAGATGTAAGAGAGACTTTTTGTCGTCCTTCCTAAGCATCGGCATCTCGAATCTTCCTTGCAAGGACATACAACGACCTGATATTTAACGTCTACAAAGACGTTAAAAAAGACAGCAGCAGTGAACGTAACGGTGGCCCATTTAATATGAATAAAAATACCGACCAGACATCTAAATGTGACTGCTATTCTTCTTAGTGGATACATGGAGTAAAGTGTTCTATGCAAATGAGAATGACGTCAGCTAGTATCAACAAAGGGAAGCCACCGGAAAGCAGCAACAAAGGGAAACAACCCGATAGCAGGATCGTCATTCTGGGCAACTCTGGAGTCGGGAAGTCAGGTAAAACAAATTTATTAGAGGAATGAATCAATAATATATCAATATTGTTTCATTTCTTCTTTGTGTTTCTCAGATATTTGTTAGAATTTCTTGCTTTTCAGAAACCTGTTTTTATGCTGCTGATCACTCTCCGTTTAACAGGCGTCTGTAGTGTAGCGGTTGTGTTTCGCTGTCGCACTCAGGAAACCCGAGTTCGATTCCCAAGTGGGGAGAACAATTTAGTCAAGAATTTAGGTGTTTGTATTGGGATGGGCCTCTCTACTACTACTACTACTACTACTACTACTACTACTACTACTACTACTACTACTACTACTACCACTACCACTACTACTACTACTACTACTACTACTACTACTACTACTACTACTACTACTACTACTACTACTACTACTACTACTACTACTACTACTACTACTACATTTTTAAATCAATCTCTAATAATTTTAAAATAGTAGTAATGATATCAATAAAAATAATGATAATGATAATAGTAATAAAAACAATAGTAATAATAATAATGATAATAATAATTATAATTATAATGATAATAATAATAATAATTATAATGATAATAATAATAATAATAATAATAATAATAATAATAATAATAATAATAATAATAATAATAATAATAATGACAAAAGAAAAGTGTTATACAACACTATGGTGACTCGATACGAAGCACAACAATGGACTCTTTCCACCAAACTGGGATGTACTGTGTGTACACTTATTTCCAAGACAAGCAGGAATCTGAGACCAACTCGGTATGATAAACGCTTGTCACAACAGATCACCTGCAAGAACGCCGTGTCAAATAAATAGGGTAGCTCGCACTTCAGGCAATCACAGATTCGCTCTTGCTGAAATCTCCCCGCCCCCCCCCCCTCTCTCTCTTTCTTTCTTTCTCCCTGTTTTTCTCTCTTTCACCCCCCTCTCTCTTTCTTTCTCTATTTCACCCCCTCTCTCCACCACCCCCTCTCTCTCTCCCTCTCTCTCTCTCTCACATTCTTTCTCTCTTTCACCCACCTCTCTCCCTGTCTCTCTTTCTTTATCTCTTTCACCCCCTCTCTCTATTCCCTCCCCCCCTCTCTGTGTCTCTCTTCCCCCGACACGTGAAGGTGTTGGCATGGGTGTGAGGACCAGGGTACGTTTATAAGCGTGGAGATTGATTTCCTGGCGAGGAATCTAGGAATTAATGTGTTCATACACCATACCTGGAAAGGTAGATCCAGTCGTCACCTGGGGTAAAGGTTTATTGCCTAGTAGTTTGCTCAAAACGTTCATATTGTTATGTACACATGAGGAAATTATTTTGTTATCCAAGCACCCTTTCAGCTCTTCATCATCTTATTTTGAGAGAGATGAGACAGAGATTTTGTGTCAAGAGATTGTCTAAGTGACGAAACAATAATTTATTCTCTTCCCCTTTGGCAAGGGAAAGATCACGTTACCAAAGTCTGTTCTTTAGGGCTATGCTCGCTCTTAGCCGTGCACGCAAAGCACGCGAGTTTGAGTCTCCCATAAGTGGGAAATATTACGCTCTTTTCGGGGCGATCCTGACAGAGTTGAAGCAGCCCAGTCCCAAAATGATCTAAATTGGGTTGATGTGTGCGTGAGATATTTACAAAAACAAAAGATCACATTGCAAGATACTTGGATCGGGTTTTAGCTTATAGGAATCAAGTTGGGGGGGGGGGGATCTCCTTGGGGGTGGACGTGAAACTATGCTGTACGCATATATGGCACGTCACAAGATATCTTTACAATATCCTTTTAAAAACCTTTTTGACACCGACCTCTGTAGTGTCATGGCTAAGCTTTTCACTTTTGCACTCTGAAGACGGGAGACCGATTCCCGTTTGGAGAGTTATTCTATTGGATATATCCGTCTGACTGCTGATTAGGCGTAACTCTTTTATTATCTCAGTTCGGTCTTGGCAGCTGAGGCATGAGGAACGGTCTTCTAGATGTTCTAAATTGTATCATCAAGGACGTAAATCATTGAAAATAATTCACAATTAATTATAACGTGTTTAACGTATTGGCCTGTAGCACGCGCTGTTGTTTTTACGAAATGGCAAAATAAGAAAAGATAGGATAAAAATATATTTGAATAATATACTTTACGATCATACACTGGAATGGACTAACGACGTACCGTACTTTTACCAGTTTTTTCAAAACTCACTAAATGTACATAATATCACTATCTTATTTCCCTCTCACTTTCTGTTAGTGTAACCCCCCTCCCCCCCCTCTCTCTCTCTCTCTCTCTCTCTCTCTCTCTCCGTCCTTCTCTCTTCCCTCTCTCTCTTTCTTTCATTTTTTCTTTTTAAATTCTTTCTTTCTTTCTATCTCTCGGAAGTATTCGTGCATTTGCCCTTCAGTTTCAAGGTTTCAGAAGTGTCGACCAGTGACCGTCGACAGATCAGTGTCTGCCCAATCTACCATCGCACCACTCCCCAAACGGCAGGAGAATCTACTGGCCAATTATAGAAACAGAGTGGGGCTTTACATATCCGTGACATTGAACGTCTTCTAACGGACGCTTCTTTTTAATAACGTGTGTGTGTGTATGTATGTGTGTGTGTGTGTGTGGTTTGTTTGTGTTTGTGTTTGTACGTGTTTGTGTTTGTATGTGTGTATGTGTG